GGGGATAATATTTTTCTGAAACTAACTCTTTATTTGCTACTTAATTTAAATACCTATAAAGTACTGATGACTATTTTATTTTTGGCTATCTTTAGGAGTATTCTGGAAAACAGAGAGCATATTTAACAAGAATGAAGTAGAATAGATACTATTTGATGTTTAGTAATCTCTACTTTAATTTTACACCATTATATACTGAAATATCGATAGCCACCTTAAGTGACTTAACTACAGTAACAATATAAACTTCATCTCCTATACTCTCCCAGCCCATATTGTAATCATATAGAGATTTGCTTTCATAATTGAACCTTTGGAAAAATCAAACAAATGCTACAGATAAGGAAAAGTATGTTGGCAAACTTAAAGTTTAATACGATCTTAAACCTAATATTTTACCAAGTGTCGTCGACTGTTATTTAGGAACTCAATGCAATGTATTTCAGGCCAATTACTCACTCAAACCATTTTGCTCAGATGTTGGAAACATAAAGATAAATTACAACCTTTAAATCAGTTGTAGCAGTAATAATATATTGTTTACCAACCTTTTGCAATCCTAAACAATATCTTCAATAGTTTCAAATACTAACAGTGAGTTGCAAGTCAATATTTCTATTAAGACGAGAGAGTTATAATATATTAACTTATATTCAATCTCTGTTAATTACAACATCAATGATTCCTTTACACAATATACTCTGATATAGGAGAAATTTTCTCTTAATATATCAAATAGCTGCCAAAATAATTACTAAGTGATTAAGAAACTTCAAATACCTAATGTATGATATAAACTATAAACTTCTCCGTAATATTATTAGTTGGAATAACTGGAATTAGGCCCAAATCAAGAATGCTTTAAGTAATATTTAAATTTGTTGCCAGATTAGTAACCATTAATAAATAGTGGAGTTTTATTGTCAGATAAGTTAATGGATTTTAATATTGGACTAAATACAATAAATCCAGATTATATCGGAAAATATTAATTCTTAATAGAGGTTGTGGTCGAAGCAGAAATTGAGGGTTTTATTTCCAAAAAATATTTTTTCCCTTTTAATTATGAAATTTATACAGATACTACACAATT